AGCATGAAAGGGTACTAACAGCTGAAGAGGGCCTACGGCTAGCTACCCTTAAGGAGTTTGCAGCACGTGGTGATGAGAAGAAGGCAAAGAAGAGGGCACGCACTGATAAGGGCGAGCCTACTCAACGACGCTGTGGACGCTGCGGCGAGACTGGGCACAACTTACGCACGTGTAAGAAAGAAGTAGAAGTAGATTCGGAATAGATTGGCTTATTACGATTTTTGAAAATTGTTCATGGTTGTATTGTACTGTCGTAAACAGTATGGATTTTGGTAGGATCTTGGCAGAAGTGGACGGCTCGCCCGTGTGGACGGCTCGCCCGTGAGGTACGTTATCTGTAAAGCCAAAGTACAAGGTGTTAAGCCGTTACAGAGATATGAATAATCATACTATTCCGGTATAGTGCCCATTTACACTAACCCCTTGCAGTTAATGGCTCTCACTATTTCAACCTCCCCTTAGGAATCCGTCACCTAAAGCATCAACTGAATGTCAATTTCTTGTCAATATCGCTCTCTCGCTTGAATGATTTAAGTTGCAGCTCAAGATCAGCTCGTTCATGGCTTCACCCGCTCTCACTATACGTAACTTTACTGTATATCCGATCACGTTGAAACACATATCGCGATTCCAGGACCCAAACTCGCGGCAATCCAATGCCAGCGTATTCTCATTTGGCCCAAAAAACAGCACCTCTCCTGCACCAGCCGCGTCCGCTCTTGGAGAACATGCAAAGAGCTATAGAGATGAGGAGGTAGACGTCAGACTATTGGCCTTCGAGGCCTACACTATCCCCTCTACCACCTCGGATTCCGACGACAACCCCCAAATAGGAACCACAACCATCCGGCTGACACTCGAAACCCACGACGGCGTCCGTCACCGCATCGACATCAATCCCAGCTACACCCAAAAGGCCTCTCGTCCATTGACCCCGCTCTCCCCGAACCCCTCCATCACTCTCAGCTCCTTGTATCATCCCGCAAACACCATCTCTCACCTCACCATCCACACCCACCACAGTTACGACCTATCCAAATGGATGTCTCACCTCCCCTCCACGCTCCCCCTCTCCGCCCTCAGCATCCCCGGAACCCACAACTCGCATACCCATTACCGCGCGCTCCCCTCGGTAAGATGCCAAGTCGTCGACCTAAAAACCCAGCTCTCTCACGGGATCCGCTTCCTCGACATCCGCGTGCAACCCGCGCACGCCACCGACGTCTCCAAAAAAGACCTCTACCTCGTCCACGGCGCCTTCCCCATCAGCCTCACGGGACCAAAATACCTCGCTCCCCTTCTCGAAACCTGCTATTCGTTCCTCGACGAGAACCCCGGGGAGACGATCCTCATCTCGCTGAAGCGCGAGGGCGTCGGTAACGCCACGGATGAGCATCTCTCCCGGGTTTTGGAGAGGCATTACTTCCGGCCCAACCGCTCGAAATGGTACTTCCCGCCCTTGGCGGACCCGGGGAGTCCGGAAGGGATACGGATCCCGTATCTCGGGGATGTGCGTGGCAAACTCGTCCTCTTGCGCCGATATACCGCTCACTCTGAAGAACCCCCTTCTTCTTCCCCTCCCTCTCCTTCTCCCTCCCCATCTTCTTCCCAACCCACACATCCACATCCACCCCCACCACCCACCCTTCCATCCCTCCCCGGCCTCGCCGCCACCCACTGGCCACACAACGCAACCCACTCCCCACCCACTCCTACCTTCCCCATCTCCCTCCAAGACTACTGCGACATCCTACACCCTGCCTCCATCCCTCTCAAACTCAGCCACGCCACCTCGCACATTGCTCGCTGCGCCGCCAACACCGCCTTCGTCCCCGGTGTCAATACCGATGAAAAGAATCCGTGTCCGCCACACGCGCTGTATCTGAATTTTTTGTCCGGGAGTAATTTCTGGCGCAGGGAGTGTTGGCCTGAGAGGGTGGGGAGGGTGGTGAATAGGGGGGTCGAGGAGTGGGTTTGTAGAGAGTTGGGGTTTGCTGCGGTGGGTGTTCGGGAGGGGGAGGGGGAGGGGGAGGAGGTTGGTTCTGGAGGAGGGAAGGAGAATAATGTAGTTAATAATGTTGGAGTTGTTGGGAATGGAGTAGCGAAGCAAGATCGAGGGAATGAGATAGGCTTAATTCGAAGGGCGAGTCCGAAGGGGGATATGAGCACGGGCGTCATCATCATGGATAATGTGGGTGAGGGAGGGGATTGGGATCTTGTGCGTTTGATTGTTGGTTGTAATATGGGAGTGTTGATGAAAATGGGGATTGTTGGTGCTGGAGGAAATGGTAACGGTACGAAAGACAATTAGATAGAGAACACCTCCAGGATTAGATGGATGATTTGCATATCAATGACACATAGATGGACGGCATGGGAAAACGTATATCCACTGTAGAATGGCCTATGAATTCCATTACGCGTTGTACTCTCATTGTCAACAGTATATATCGCCGCGCGCACCACGTGTCCTGGATGAAGTACAGTTCGTGCGAGAAACAGAGAACACGCCTCACATGCCAGCATTAGTAGCAGCCCGGGACGCGACGATACCATGAGTCTGAGCAACATGTCCTGAGACCCTTCCTCCACTTCCCATCCCCATGCAAACGCCTCTGCAGGATGGTGTAAGGTCCTTACACCTGAAACAAAGGCGAAGACCACCATTAGTGTCCAGGTAACACGCAGCGAAAGCACTGGGAAGAAATAACCGGAAAATACTAGTACAATGCCGCCAATACTCAATAAGCCGAGGCCACAAGGCCCAGAACGCCCGTTATGCTCTGTGCCACGCAACAAAGATGTGTCCATCTCTGCACACATCGACCCCTGAACACCCAGAAATGCGAGATAATTACAAAGCCACATCGAAGAGATGGTTGAGGGTTTTGGGGACACTATGCGGGAAAATCGTATCACTCTTACGAGAGTCTGCTGTCGACGGGCGTGCATCCTCCGGAGTCTCGAAATCCTGCTTTGGTGTGAAATAGGGCGTGGATGGCGTGGATCGCTGAGGGGATGACGGCGCAGAGGTGAAAGGTTCCATGACCGGTGATCTCGGAGCCCCATCAGGTCCCATGTCGTATTGTGAGATGTCTATCATGGCCGTTTGTTTCCACCTGGTGAGTCCGCATTGCCTGACTCCGGCGACGGATGGAAGCGTGTATTTGGTCTCCTCCATTTTGCTGGCCATGACAATCGTATCCTTCTGTATCATATTCTGATGGAAAGCATGGTTCGGATTTTCCTTCAGAACATCACTCCGGTCGTGAGGTATGTCCTTTTTGTTGTGGATCCGTGAAACGGTTGACCCCTTTGAAACACTGAAGATATTCGTCATCTTCTGGTTCTCCTTGACTGTTGTCTTCTTCGCAGCAGCTTTTCTGGGCGCTTGTCGCTTCGTAGCAGGCTTGGGTTTCTCCTGACCCTTTGGCTGCACATCTGACTTCCTCTTTCGCCCTTGCGCCTTAGTAGTCGTGATCTGATCTTGCCCAGACTCCTTCTTCGGTTCCAAACGTGGGCTTGCAGCTGGTGTGGGCATCTGGACCCGATCGAGGAGCGTTTGCTTCTTAGGCGTAGACACAGGCACCATGACCACAGCTTTCTGCTTCTCCTTTGTCTGGCTCACCTCGTCATCCGTAATCTCCTTGAATGTGATAGGGTCATCCCATCTTGGCATGGCAGCAAGACGAGCGACTTCATCGCATGGGCCTTTGACGATGAGGTCCCAACTGTTCGCGAGATCCTTGCCAACCGGTTCAGGGTCGTTGTTGATCCAGACGGTAACACCATCGCGTCTATCTCTAGCGACAGCGCACATCTCGCGGGCTATCCGTCTGACGCCGGGAACTTTGAGAGTAGTACCAGCGACGATGACAGCGTCCGGTCGAGTTCGAAGATCAAGACTGGCACAGGACCCGATTGCCTCGTCGTCAGGGTTGTGCTCGTTGTACAAGACCATTCGGGGACGGAGGCGACCTATCCCGTGACTACGCTTCTCTGCGACTTGGCGAACTTGATCATTCTCTTTACAATGAGGACACGCAGGTGGCACAGGTCCATTAAACTGCTCGGCATCGAAATCGGACAGCGTATGGCACTTGGAGCAGACCATATGATCCAGCCCACCATGCAGCTGCACTGTCTTCGGCCATGGGCCTTTCTTTGGCAAGGGAACTTGCGTCCGCAGGGGTGGGAGCGACGTATCGATGCCATCGACATTTTGCGAATATAGCCGTAGCAGGCGTCCCTCCTGGGCGAGTGTCGCTAGCAGATGGTGGAAGGGAGTTGGCTGGGCGCATTTGGTTTTCTGGGATAGTGAGCGCACCATATCGTGGAATGAAGATGTGGAGGAGTCGTCCCGGTAAACAGACGCGTCAAACAGATCCTTGCCAGAGGATTTGAGTTTGTGCTGCTTGCGGAGGGAGCTGAACAGGCCTCCGGAGGAGCGAAAGTCGGGGATGCCAGCAGACACGGAGATACCAGCGCCCGCAATTACGACAATCTTCTTCTTCTTCTGCAGGACATCGAGAAGGCGCCTTAGCTGGGGATCGTTCTCGACGTTGTCTCTTGTGAGATCAAGACGCTCCGTAGTGCGCTGCTTCGGCTCGTTGAGTTTCCGCTTCTTCCGAACGGGCCCGTCGTTGTCGCTGGCCGGCGGTGTGGGCCTCATCTTGTCCGGCGCAGGTGAGGTCTTGGCGGAGGATTTCTGGGAGGAGGACGGAGAGAAGTATGCCAGCGGCCGGTGCGCAAACGAGGGGCTCGATGGTGGAGACGGCGTAGCTGATAATTCCGAGAGTTCAGAGTCGGAGGAGGCGGTTGAGGATGACGAGGGGGGAGGGGAGCTCAGGGAGGAGCTCGATCCTTGGGGGGAGCGGTGGGATGCGGCCATTGCTGCGAAAGTGGAAGGCGCGCGTATTGTCATGGCAGGCAGAACAGACGGAATATGCGGGGTATGATTCAATGGTGAACCTCTCGCGCCGTGACAACCGGACAGAGAGCTAGAAGAAGGGCCGCCGCGTGTCAAACGAGGGTGGAGGTTCGGTCCTGGGCAATGGGGCTAGGGAAGGCTTTCAACGCGCCGTCGGTGGGAATTCCGGAGTTTACAACATGCTGAGGGAGGCCCAAGACGCGCATCAGACTGTCGGTGAAAAACAGGCACGGCCAGACGCGTGCGCGTGGTGAAGACGAGAGGTCGCGAAAGGAGGAGGCTGGCGGTTCGCGATGAGGACGGGATGGGTGGAGGTTGTGCTGACACGGAACATGCCAAGACCAGGAACACCAAAACAAAGCTCCCAGTAAGGACAACAGGGAACGGCAGGCCGGATGGTCATGCAAAGTCCCAAGGATGGCATCCGTGGGGCTCGGTTTCAAGGTTAGTGACCACGTACTGTGTATGCAATAGTACTCCCCATGTGAAAACCTCATGGCATGCTCTCAGACTGCTGTTTTCGTCAGTCATCAATCATCAGTAGCTATCGGCTACGGTGAATGGAGTATGGCAATGCCAACACAGATCTTGTTGTTACAATTGCAATATTCAAAATAAGAATGCATAGGTAGATTTAGACGTTTCACGCATGTAGTCGTCTTGCAGCGCATTTACTATTGTATACTCTGTACCATACACATGTCGGGTTATTCCACTGTTGTTGACGTTGTGAGGGTCCTATGAGGAATGACGCGAACCAACCACGTAACGAGGCTAGCCCTGCCTTGTCTGGTTTAGCTACCTGCTTGGCATACCGTGACTAATCGTGTAATGCACAGCCTCGCGTAATGCACGGTTCTTACTGGTTTTGAGCACCTACTTTTGAGGCTATAGAGCCTAATATAGATTGTAATATCATGAGATTTTGAGTAGAGGAGGACTATTGAGTTCGGTGAATTCTATTTTGTGATCAAATCATATATGATAGCATTCTGGCACCTTAATTTGCCTGCCGCAACAGCTTGATGGCCCCGAGACCACTACTACCTCTAGAACAGTTTCCTTTTCCTCTGTATCCTTTTGAGCTTGAACTGTTGGCTTGATAACTTTCTTCTGAGGCTTCCTGGTAGGTTTAGACTCAATTTGAAGCTGTTGATTTGCCTTATGGGCTATAATATCCTCCTGCTTTTGATGTCGCTTATCCTCTATCTGCTGTAGCTGGAGCTCCTTTGCAGTAGCCCTTGTTCATCACCTCTCCTCCTGAAGCCACTCTTTCTCAGCCTTCTTCTCTTTATGGAGGATTCTATCCTCCTCTTTTTGAAGTCTTTAAGACTTTGCTGCTGCTTCTTTTTGAGCTTGGTGATCACGAGCTTGTTGTACCTTATTAGAACTCCAAAAGATGGCTCCACCCTCACTCTGAGTAGGAGCTACAAGTTGGAGAGGCTTGCCATGCTGCCGTCGCTTCTTCTCATTCCTAATAGCCTGCTTAAGGCTATCAACCTCTGTTGTAAGGAGCTGAGTTTGAACTGTAAGCATCTGTATTGACCTGCCAAGCTTCCATACCCAGCGGTCATCTATTATCAGATTTGATGATATCTGAAGATGTCACAGTGACAGAAAGATTGAATAAGGATGGGTTGACTGATTGTATTCTAGTGTGTATGTATGTGAGGCTGGGGCCTGACACCGGTTTTGATGTTCCTTCTCTGGGTACCAAGGCTGCACAGGGCACTAGCCACTGCAGAATCACTAGCCACATGTCCTCAGACAGTATCGGTACAGATACCTTCTCCCAGTCCTCCTCTCCAGTCCCAGATGAGATGTCCATAAACTGGCTTACCATCTGACACACCCCCTCAGCTTGGAACCCATTGCAAGCTGGACCCAATAGTATCTCCTCTTCAGAGTAGCATGTCTTCCAACTTGCCTTGTACTTCATCCAAGTCTATCTCCTTCAGGACATTTAAGTTCTTCACTCTTTCCAGTCCTAATTGATCTAAGAACCTGTTCCACTTGTTCCCAGGTAATACCTTTGTAAACCCATCAGCCAGCATCCTTTCTGATTGCAGATACTCAATCCTGATGATCCCAGATGATATCTCTTGCCTCAGCCAGTGATTGTGAATGTCTACATGCCTGAGCTTGGTCTGCAACCTTGAGATCTCTGCATTGAGGAGCCTGATAGTCTGTTGATTGTCACAGTGGATGGTTATTGTCTGCTCTGGGAGTGGAACCTCCAGTTCCTTGAGGAGCCTTGAAATGAACATGGCTTCTTTTGCCACTTGTGAGAGTGTAAGCAGTTCAGCTTCAGTGGTGGATGTGGTGACTGTGTCTTGCTTGTTTG